ACTCACCTTGATTCTAAGTTCTTGCTTCTATTAAGAGGCATCATGGCGTAACAAAAAATATCAACTGTGACATTAAATACTGGGTTCAGCTCCACCTTTGTCACTTACCAGGTATCTAATCACATTCCCTCTCCAAGCATGTAAATGGCACCTGTGAATGGCAGTTAACCTATGGTTATTGTAAAGAATTTAAGACCATACACACAAATGGCCTGGCTTTATAAAAGATGCTCAGTTAAGACAAGCTATGATGCTAAACTTCCTTTAGTTCAATTATTACCTAGTGTTAGTTGTGTAGTTTCCGGAAAGTTCCTTCATCTTTCTGTGCCTCAGTTTCCTCATCTGTGAAATAAGCATACAATAAGTTGTTCCGTGGATTAAGCGAGTCAACATGTATGAAGTGCTCCGAACAATGTCTGGCACATGGTATACACTGCATACGTTTTAGCTATTATCATTTGTGCTTGTGTGGTAGTGATGAAATTAGGGAGGTACACAAACTGGATTTTAGTCCACCCTGCACTGGGTGAACTTGCATAAGTCACTTATCTACCATCCATTTTCTTTTCTGTAAGAGGAAGGAGTTAACTAGGCCATCTGTCAAGCTTACATGTTTTACAAGATTTTATTCCTAAACTGCTCTGTGAGATGAAGAACCTGAGAAGGTTTTCTGACTTGTAGATAGTTTGAAGGTGCTATGCTCTCACAGATGTGTCAAGGCCTTCTTACTGATTCACACCAAAGACTCTGCCTCTGTCTCAGGTTTTCTGCAGGTGGTTGATCTGTCTACTTTTCACCAAGATGTGTTCCTCTGTCAGCTGCATCAGAGCTGTCATAAGCCAGCTTCATGCCAGAGAGAAGGAATGACAGTGTTTTTATTTGTCTGCTTCACTGTGTCTTCCTTTGCAATCCCTTCTCAGAAAGGTCAAAATAAAATTCTACAAATGCCCTGATGAGGAACACCAGCTGATTGAAGGAACAGGCCCCTGTAAGCAGCACTGCTGCTGCTGAGAGGCCCCCCGTGGAGTTCTGTCGAGCCTGACTCATCCTCCAGTTCAGGGAGGCCTGGTGGTCACTCCCTTTCTGCCCCAGCCAGAGAGCACATTGCAAACATCTTAAAGGCTTGTGGTTGGCAGGTTAAGGGGGGACAGCAATTCACCAAAGCATTATGGGAAATCTAAGAGAGGGCAAAGAAGGGGTGAATGGGGTGTGTGCCCTGTCTCTAAAGAAGGGGATTCCTGCTCTTTCCCAATTCAGGAGAATGCTAAAAAGGCTGCTCCCACTTCTTTAACTTGCTTCTGCCTCCTTTGCCTTTTTATTTGCTCCTTCCAAAGATAAGAGAGTAATTATCCGAGTGTCAGATGCGGGCATTCAGTGGGCTATACTTACTATCAGTCAGTTATGAGCCTCAAATACAAGGTCCCAGGAACCACCCTTCTTCTTCTTTCTATGTCTAGGCCCAGCAAACTTTCTTCTGCTCCTTTCTCCAGGTGAGGAGTGTGTGAGTGTCAGGGTCAATAAGGAGGGGCTGGCACACAGAGAGTAAAACACCTGATTCTAACAGCCAGTGGATCAATTCAGTGTTCCACATTGTGATGATCACACTGCCCACCCTGAGCAATTTTTCCAAATGACTGAATCATTTATTTGTTCCACTGTTCATTGGAAAAATGAGGTAAAACTTCATCCTACCTTGAATTAAAGGGGTTCCCATCACTCTTATCAAAGCTACATTGCATTGCATAGCATTTCAAGCAGAATGAGCTAAGCCTTTCATTGACTTCGTTTTGCATCCTGTGCAACTAGGACTATTCTTAGCATCTCTGAATTAGAAGAAAGTTCAAAAACATCCCACCGATTTTTCCATAACTCTCTGCTTGATTTTCTCTGCTACATTTTTTGCATGTGTTCCTGCAGTTTCTGCTCGAACATTTCTAGCAATAAAACAGTTTTTTGCAAATAGATTATTTTGTTTGGCACAGGTTTATTGGAAAATGCTTCCTTTGTTAGTTCTTTGTAACCTCTTAAAATTCCATTTATCCCACTTTTGGAATGAGAAAAAATAAATTGTCATAACTTTTCCTGTGACAGTACTTTAAGTACTTAGATGGTTCTTAGACTACGTTATGCCACAGTAATCTCAGTGGCTGAAAACAACAAAGGTTTATTTCTTACCTACACATAGGTCATCTGGGAGTTCTGCACGACCCTCACTTAGGGACCCAGGTTGGAAGAACAGCCAACAACCTTCCGCAAACTGTCTCTCCACTGTCCTGCCCCCGACTCAGTTCTCAGTCATTGTTGTGGGCCATCTCACACTACTTTCTGGTCTGCTTTATCCCCAACTATATGAACACAGCCCCTCTTCTTTATTCTCCAAGTCATCATCAGCATAGTGATGTTATGGGTAGCAGATTTGCTGGAATCTTGGGGTTATGGAAGAAGGGCAAGTTGGGAGTGGGGGAATAGAAAGCTGACATATATGAATAATCTCACCTTGAAAATTAGACATCACAGTTTTTAAACATCCTTACCTGTCTCTCCCCTTCTCCTACCCCAAACTTGGGTCCATCTTCAGCCCTCTGAGGAAACCTACCCTAATTTCTTCTCAATTCGCATGTCTTGGAATTACTCACCTCAGTGTCTCTAGTTGTTGTCAAAGAGAAAATTCAACTTGACCATTACTTTTTTCAGCAGATAAATTTAGCTCCTTTTGTCTTAATTTCTTCCATTCTTATTTATTCTAATGCATTCTCCTTCCTAACCAAAGGGCTTCTTAATATTTCTTAGGCAAAATAATTATCTGCAAAATCCTCCAAACTTAAAGAGAGAACAGGAGCTAAGGAATCAGTTTTTCCTTATGTCTTAAAAAGGTCATTGCAAATGTTTTTCATTCCTACCAACTCCATTTTAGAGAAACTTTCAGAATGTAAGTGTGATGGTTAATATTAGGGGGTCAACCTGATTAGAAAAAAGGATGCCTAGGTGGCTGGAAAAGTCTTGTTTCTGGGTGTGTCTTTGAGGGTATTGTCAGAGGAGACTGACATTTGAGTCAGTGGACCAAGAGAGGAAGACTCACCCTCAATATGGTGGGCACTCTCCAATCAGCTGCTAGCACAGCTAGAACAAAGTAGGTGGAAGAGGCGGTGTAACCTTGCTTGCCGAGTCTTCTGACTTTCTTCTTTTTCCCATGCTGGATGCTTCCTTCCACTCTTCCTGCCCTTGGACATCAGACTCCAGGTTCTTTGGCCTTTGGACTCTGGGACTTGTGCTTGTGCCTTCCTGAGGGCTCTCAGACCTTCGGCCACAGACTAAAGGCTGCACTGTCAGCTTCCCTGGTTCTGAGGCTTTCGGACTTGGACTGAGCCACTACTGGCTTCTCTCTTCCCAGCTTGCAGACAGCCTAACATGCTGGGACTTCGCCTTGTAATCATGTGACCCAATTCTCCTCAATAAACTTCCTTTCGTATGTACATATATCCTATTCTGTCCCTCTGGAGAACCCTGACTAAAACAGTAAGCATGGATCATAAAGGGTGAATTTGGGAGTATTGAGGAAGTCAGATCATGAAAGACCTTGGAACTTGCTAGCCTATATACATTTTGATTTTAAGCAGGGAATTAACATAACTAGTGGGTTATAAGGAGTATGAGAGTATAAGTGCCATAAGAAGACAAGCTGGGAGACTGTTGTAGGAATGCAGATGAGAAGGAGCAGTAGGAATGGAGAGAAGTGCTGGAGTCAAGCCATAGTTAGGAAACAGAATGGCAAGGACCCGATGTGGGAGGGTGAGTGGAGACAGGAATATCAGGAATGATGCCCAGTTTTCTGTTTCTAGCAACTATATAAGTGTTGGTGCAATTCACTGTGACAGAAAATAAATGAGTAGGAATAAATTTAGGGGGAAATTATGTTTCATTTTAGACAGATCATGTTGTAGATTTGTGAGGCATCTGCAGATTACCAAGTCATATTTTTTCAGGCAAGACTGGCCAGTGGGATCTGCATCCTGAAGAAGGACTAAGCTGTCTCTTTGACCCCCAATATTACAAGGAAAACCTTTGAGCAAAAGGTCCCCTTTGCTGCCTTGATTTTATTTGAGATCTGAGATTCTTTGCTGCAAATCTTTAACTTAAGATATAGAACTGATATCTAAAGTAAGCTAAGACACCAGTACAGCCTCCACCCTGGGAAGACATGGAGACCTTCCTCTTCACTTAGACATGTGACCAAGCAGAGGGATTGCTGCTGATTCAATCTAGTCACTTTAAAAAGTATCACTTGGGAGCCCAGGATTTATCCTTAATATCATTATAAGGAGCTCTTTTGTTAGAAGGGAATGGTTGCACCTTTGTGTAATGGGTGCATAATATTTACCAGCGTGGTAAATATCTGATATTGTGTGTCCACTATTTTCCAACTATTTTTCACATAGGTACATTTAAATATTTCACTTTTTTGCCTTCTTAATAATTTTTGCTGTTACTGCTCTTTGGACTTCAGAAAAAAATAGAAAAAGAAAAATGTCATTAATATGGCCCCATTCAAATCATGAAGCAGGAGCCGCCATTGTGGAAGCTACATACATGGACTCAGGCATTTGATTCTAGTGCACACCAGGGAGTTTACCTGCTATGCATAAAGAAGTACTGAAATTGACAGCAGGACATCTGCCTTCAAGTCCCAGGTTTTCATTCACTAGAAGGTCCCTTTGGCAAACCACTTACCTCCTTTGGGTCTTGCTGGCCTTATCTGAAAAATGGGCACATCACTGTAGACACTGCTGCATCACGGGGCCATTTGCAGATTGAGGCAAAAAGTCCAAACAAAGGGCTATAGAAAGCAGAATGACATCCTACATGCTCCAATCTTAGACTCCCAGGCTTTGGTTCCAGACCAAACATCTTTCATCAGCTCTTTGTCATAAAGTTTACAATGTCTTCAGCTGCTGTGGCTACATTCTTAATCTTTTAAGAAAGATCATTGTTTTCTCTTACAGTGTATCGTATGGGACTGGGACTCCAATGGCAAGCATGACTTCATTGGCGAATTCACCTCGACATTCAAGGAGATGAGAGGAGCAATGGAAGGGAAACAGGTACATGGTCAACCACTTGTGTGGGTTTTTGCCTCCAGGCAGTCTCTATGTTACATCTTAGCACCCAGCTACAAAGGAAACAGTGAGAGGCAAAATATCAATGTATGATTACGTGTGATAAGAAGGGAGCATCATGGGATGTGAGTTCCTAGATTCGAGAACTAGCCCAACCCAAAGTGATTATGTGTCCTTGGAAAAGACACTGACCCCAAACGTTACAGTTTCTCCATTAGTAAAATGGAAAGGTTAGATGAAAGTATTTCTAATCTCCTTTAGCTGTGTAGCCTTGAAAAAGTATCTTAATCTCTCCATGCGTCATTTTTCTCACCTAAAATATAAGAGTGATAATTGCACCTACCTCATAGAATTTTGTGAAGAATAAATGAGATAATCCTATGTGCTAACAGAGCACCTAGCACATAGCTAGCATTTTCAAAATATCTGCTATTAACAGTAATATTCTTTCTAGGTCTATATTTCTATGACTTGGTGACATTAACAACAATTTAATGCTTCAGAGAAATTACTTGAATTCTCTAAATTTTCGTAGGGGTACCAGGTTTTCTTCTAGTGCCATCATTTTACTCTTACACGCTTGATGCCAAGACCTGTACCTAAACACTACCACATGCCACAAAGACACATTGTCCCACACAGAAACCCAAACCCCTTCTGTGTTTTCCTCAGATACACACACTTTCATGTCATATCATATATCATATATCATATATCATATATCATATATCTAGGTAGGTAGGTAGGTAGGTAGGCAGGCAGGCAGATATATTGATCAAGAAGTCATCTGAGCCCTATTCATGAAACTTCTCTTTTTACGTGTTTATTGTTCACTTGCCCAATGTCCAGCTGCAGCACCTCTTGGCCTGAGGGCTTTCTCTAGCTGCTGGAGCCTGTTTTATCCATGCCCAAAGCAGGCTAGAAGTGTGGATGGAGATGTAACACCTTCCAGGAGGTAGCCCCCAACAAATAACTAATGGAAGTTGGTGTATAGATACCTCAGCTCCCTTGCCCTTCAGCTAGCAAAACTCTGAGTTATGTTCTCTATACGATTTTCCAGAGTTCCCCATCAGGCCCTAGTTGTCCACAGTGGTAACTGACTTGATAATGCACCCTTTTGGGGATGCCTCCTCTATCTAATTCCCCATCCTTCTATTCATACTTCCTGGTATCACCTCCCAGATGGAATACTTACTTTAATATTCTTGCCTCAAAGTTTGCTTCTTGAGGAACTCAACCCAAGATACCTGCCATTCTTACTCTGGAGTTCATTCTCCTTCTGGAGCAGAAAGGAGTGAAAGTTGAGGGCTCAGTGCTTTTGAGAAAGTCTTCTTCTTTTCTTTCTTTCTTTCTTTCTTTCTTTCTTTTTTTTTTTTTTTTTGAGACAGAGTCTTGCCCTGTTACATAGGCTGGAGTGTGGTGGCACAATCTCAGCTCACTGCAGCTTCTACCTCCTGGGTTCAAGTGATGCTTCTGCCTCCGCCTTCTGAGTAGCTGGGACTGCATGTGTGTGCCATGCCTGACTAATTTTTGTATTTTTAGTAGAGAAAGGGTTTTACCATGTTGGACAGGATGGTCTAGATCTCCTAACCTTGTGATCTGCCTACTTCAGCCTCCCAAAGTGCTGAGATTACAGGTGTGAGCCACTGCACTTGGCTGAGAAAGTCTTTTTCTTTAGAGATAATACTCTGTGCCTGTTCTGGTCGGAAGTGCTGATTAAAGATGCCCCAACTCGTTTTTCAACTCTCTCATATGTAAGGTCAGGATATAATCAAACTGGATGGAAATGAACTAACATTTTTTTAGACATAGAAACATAATCTGAATCAGACCATTTATTGAACACATACCCTTGGTCTGGAAACTCAATGGAAACTGACAGCTTTCTACTTAGCTACTGCAAAACCTGCTGTAAATGCTCTATTAGGTACTCAGCATTACAAGAAACTTGTCAAATGCACAGAGACCTTCACCCACTAGCCAGGATGCAGAGTTTCAGAGCCACAGTTAAAACCACACCAAATCATAACCAAAGTCATTCCCGAGATAACAAGGACTACAGCTAGAGAAACTGTTGTTCCATTGGATATGCAGAACTAGGCCTATGTAGCTAATAAATCAATGACAGCATGCATACCACTTGCTAGAGTTCTAAAGAGTTTTATAAAGCGTTGCCTCATCTGCTTCTAGGAATAGAAATACCCCAAGCAGTAAATATAGGAAATATTTCATCTTAGGCTCCTCAAAGTATATTAAAAATAAGAACGTAACACACACCATAAATGAAATATACCAAACCTAACGCTGTCAAGCAGAGAGAAATCTTTTAAGTTCCACTGAGGAAATGGACCATATGCTATTGTGCTTTTCCGTATCACTGAGATACCAGAAAAACTTTAGTTCAACTACCCAGCCCCATTTTGGTGTTATTTATACAGTGGGAAATAGTCTCTTATTTATTAATTCTACAATATTTATCGAGTAGCACCTATTAAATCCCAAGCACTATGCCAGGCTCTAAATGCGCTACAATTATCAATGCTGACATGGTCCCTGGTCTCCTGAAGCTTACAGATAGGTGAAAGTCAGGATAGAATAGAAAACAAATAAACAAAAAAATGAAAATGCATCTACAATTTGTGACAAATGTTGTCACAAAACAGAACCAGTTTAATTCTAAAAGTGTGTATATAAAAAAGATAATCTGGCCTTTAAGTTGAGGCCCCTTAAGGATTAAAAAGAAGCTAACATGTAATGAGTGAGAAAAAAGCCTTTGAACCAAAAGAAATCATATTGCAAAGTGCAGAGGCAGGAATGAGCTTGGTGTGGTGGAGGACCTGGAAAGAGACCAGTGTATCTGAAGCAGAGAGTGAAGAGACCATTCATAGGGTGTGGTGAGAAACAAGGCCAGAGGCCAGGAAAGGCAGATTCTTTTAAATGTGCCAAGAGCATGTGGAAGCTGTGCTTTCCTATGCAGTAGCCACTAGCTACATATGGCTATTTAAATTTTTAAATTAATTAAAATAAAATTAAGTAACAAATTAAGTTCTTTGGTCATGCTATCCACATTTCAAATGCTCAATATTCTGATATGGCTGGTCCAGATTCAGAATATTCCAATCATTGAGAAAATTCTACTGGACAGTGCTGCAAAGGGTTCTAGCTAGAGAATGATTGGTTGTAATTTTTAAAAAGATTACTTTTGCTACTGTGCAGATAATTAAAGAGAGACACAGGAGATCTGTTAGGAGGCTACTGTTTAGATAAGAGGTGATAATGACTTGGGTTAAGGAAATATAGAGATAGATAAATTGGATAGACTTAAGACATATTTTTGGAACTAGGAGCTACAAGGTTTGTTGAAGGCTTGGATATAGGGAAGGAGCAAAAGGACGACTCAAGGATGGATGGTGCCATTTTCTGAGATGAGGAATAATTATGGCAGGGAGGTCCAGTTTATGAGGAAGTTTTCAAAATCTGGTTTCAAAAACTGGCACTCAGAGGAGACATTAACCTGTAAATGTATTTTAGGAGCCATCAACTAAGAGAGGATATTTAAAATCAAGAGAATGGATGAGTACACCTAGGGAGAAGGGATTGAAGAAAGGATAGAGAAAACTGAAATCCTGAGGAAACTCAGTATGTAGCATCAGAGAGAAGAGAGACAGCATCTTTCAACTTTCCTTTTCCTGTGGGAGTTATGATTCTATAGGTACAGGGTAAATTCTTAATTAACCTTGATTATTTCCTGAATAACATTTATAAGCATCCTTAGTTTGGGGTGGCCAAAGGGGAAGCTAGCAAGAATAGGAGAGCTACTCCAAGACCTTCCTAGAAGAAGGCATTGTGGTTAATAGTCCAGGCTTAGGAATGAGACTGATGTGGGTGTGAATCCCAGGTCTATCAATTACTACCTGTATGACGTGGGCAAGTCCCTTCTCTTCTCCGAGCCTCATCTTCCATCTGTCAAAGTGGGCTGTGGGGAGAGTTAAATGGGATTGGGAAAGCAGAGTGTATAGCCCATAGTTATATGCCAACTTCATTCCAAGACAGACGCAAAATATTTAGATCTGGTCCATCAGGACCCCCTACCCACCTAACAAGCACAAGGACCCCAAGTATCAACAGGTTTGATTCAACTTCCTTGGAGCCCTCTCCTGATTAAGCCAACCGGACTTCCTCATCTTAGCCTGAGAAGGAAGTAAGTAGACTTTTCATGGATGATCACTATAACTTTTAATAGAATTCCAAATCTTTAACTCGGTATATCCTGCCTGATGGAAGAAATTGAGATTAACAGAAATAATTGAGAATAACAAAAAGTAGCACAGCTAATTTTAGTATCTTTTCTTTCCAACTGTTAGGTAAATCCCTAAGCCACCTGTTTTACTGAAATATTAGAGGAAGTTTTGGGGGAAAAGACGATTTCAGTTTTGATGGGTTTGGGAGGAACTTGGGCTCTTTTGTCTAGAAATACTAAATCTACTTTCAGATGCACTGTAATTCTTGTTTATCAGGTTCTACCCACCTGGAGAGTAAATGAAAAGAAAAAGGGAGGAATGAAAGGCAACATTCATTATGGACAGATTAAGAGATTAGGCCTTTAAGTGAAAAAAACAAGGTTAGGGATCTGATTTTAGATTCTGCTTTGAATGTTTTCTTCTTTCTTTCTTTCACCCAAGAATCCCATATTTGGAAGGAGTCATAGAGAACCCTTCCCTGGTATAAGACCTCCCTCTTCCAAATCTATGTAGTTGCCCAGTCCTGCTGACACCTTCCCAGTGATGAGAAACTACAGTATCAGTTATCGGTTGCTGAGTGAAAAATTCGCTCAAAACTTCCTGGCTGAAAACACCAATCACTATGTACTCACCATTCTCTGGGTTGGCAATTTTAGCTTAAATCTTCTCTGCTCCCCATAGTGCTCCACGTGATGCCAACAGAACTCACTCATGCATTTGTGCCTCAGCAGCTAGGATGGCCAGGATAGTTCTCCAGGTGTACTTTTTTTTTTTTTAAAGGCTTAAAATGTATTTTAATAAGTTGATGTTGCATTACTGCTCCATTTCTCAGAAAAACTCCAAATTTATCAGACAAATCAAACACGGTACACTGATGAAAAAAATGCACAGCGTGACTACCTAAGATAGGCAAATCTAAGAGCTACTGTCAGACTTCCAGTATACAGCAACCCTGTTCCCAAGATTGTACTAGGCCTATCAAGAAAAACTGTGAACAGTAACATTATAGACACAAAAGGGTCATTCCTAGAATCCTCACCCAAGAAAAAGATAGAGGCAAGTTAACACAAGATTTTTTTTTTTAAAGATATACTAAAATGAAAATCTCTAAGAGAAAATGTCTTCTTTAGGTCATGAAGGGGTAATATATGGGATATAACACAACCGTATGTTCGTTGCCTGTGACCTTTGTGGACTGCCTGAATTCTCACCTGGGAGTGAATGGAGCAATGGGGCTAAGGTCATTGGGGGAGGTTTGGTTTCTGTGGTGTATGTGGCAGTTTCTCTGGGGCTGGGGGAGTATTAAGGATAAGAAAGCAAATGAGGCTGGGCACAGTAGCTTGCGCCTGAAATCCCAGCACTTTGGGAGGCTGAGGAAGGTGGATCACGAGGTCAGGAGTTCAAGACCAGCCTGGACAAACGAACTCGGGAGGCGGAGGTTGCAGCGAACCAAGATTGCACCACTGCACTCCAGACTGGGTGACAGAGAAACTCTGTCTCCGGGTGGGTGGGAAGCAAGCAAATGAAACAAGATGGACAAAAACAAAACAAAAAACCCGGAATGATCAAGATTAATGAGCTCTAACTGGATCCACTTTGCAATGATTTCCCCAGGCGCTCAACAATCACATTTGAGACTTCAGGAATGCACCACACAGAACTGAATAAACATTATACGACACATTATTTGTTTATACCACCACTCCCTTGCCCAGCATACTCCCTATAGTACAGGTAGGGTAGATCTAACTATTGTAAGGAATCCCTAACACTTTTCCAGGGTAGAATTCTGGCTAGTCCAAAAAGGGTCCCTCTTTTAAGGGTTTTGAGAAACTAGACACTGCAACTTTATTAGTATCTGCGACGTTTGTTTGGAGCGAATTCAGCTCCAGGAGCTGCACGGTGGAATGCAGGAGGAGTTCCACCAATTGCCCCAATTCCTTCCATTGTAGCAGCCTGACCAAAGCGTTCAGTTGTTGGTGGGGTCAATCCCAAAGTTCCATCCGGCATCATAGTGGCAGGTCCTTGGAGGAGCTGGGGTACCAGCTGGCACAGGAGCAGGGGGCATGGCACCTCTGTTGTTTATGCCCATAGCACCTCCCATAGCCATCTGACCCATCCGAATCTCCTGCTCTCTCGCATCAGGGAAGGTTCCCTTGAATCCTTCCTGCTGTCGCCGCATCATTTCTTCTTGCTGTCGCCGCATCTCTTCTTCACGGTGCTCTTCCTCCTGCCTGAGCTCCAGCTGCTTTCGTTTTTGCACCTCTTGGTTATGCAGCTCTTCCACCCTCCGAAGTTCTTCTTGGCGCCTCATCAAATCCTGTCTCATTAGCATGACCTGATGCTCATGGCGTGCAGCTTCCATCTCCATCTCTAGCTTCTCACGAGCCTCCTTGATGTTGCGGTCCACTTGGTCCTGCTGCTGCTTCTCCATCTCAATGAGTGCCTTCCAGCGCATGGCATACTCATACTCAAAGGAGCCAGGCTGTGCTCCTGGGTGGCTGCTCTCGTTCCTTGTGAAATTGCTGGTTCTTTATAACCAGCTTCTCTGGAAGTCCCTCTTCATCATCTAACTGGTCCATAGGCTCCACAGTCACAGGACGAGGAAATGTGGTTAGCAGGAAGGAGCCTTCACTGCATCCGTCCAGAGCTTTCCGAGCAGCTGGCTTCCCTGAGAACTCAACAATGCCTTTTCCCGAGGGCCTTCCTCAATCATCCACAATCACTACAGCCCTTTCCACCTGGCCAAACACAGAAAAAGCTTCTTCCAGAAGTTCGTTGGACACATACTGAGGAAGGTTTCGAACTGTAAGGGATGCACTATGGCAGGCAAAGCGCACACGCAGCTGCTTTCCACGGAGTGGCATATTGTCCAGCTCCACTTTGGCAATCTCCGCTAGGGTTCGTGTTTCCAAGCAGATAAAGCCAAATCCTTTATCCTTATGAATGAAGACTTCGCCTGCTTTTCCATATTTCTCAAACAGTTTCCTCATTTCTTCCTCAGTGATGTCGGGAGGAAGATTTCCCACAAAGAGACGGCTTTGTTGGGTAAAGGTCTTCTCTCCTGGTTTCCTAAAATTCTTCAGGTCAATAGTCAAGCCTTCATTTTGGCTGCTGGCCTGTTGCCCATTTGCAGGTATTGGCGGTGGTGGTGGCTGCTGCTGTTGCTGCTGGTGGTGCTGCTGCTGGTGGTGATGTTGATGATGCTTTCTTGGAGTATGGTTTTGCTTCTCCAAGTTAAAAGTTTTATTACTCTGCATTTTTGCACCCTCAACTTCGATTGAAGACAGCAAAGTGCCTCCCAGTCCTCTCTAACCTCGACTTCTCTACCGACTAATCTCTCCTCGGTGTAACGGCGACGCTACACGGCCTCTACCGTCCCGAGCCAGGTGTACTTTTAACCTCTGGGAGACCATTGTAGGCTTACACAGGTGCTTTTCAAGACTCTGCTAATATCACATTTGCTAATGTCCCATTGGCCAAAACAAGTCATGTGATTAAATGCCGCATCCTTGTGGGAGGGAGCTACATAAATGCACCGAGAGGAATAGATTATTGGAGGCCACTGCTATATCGGTCTATCCATTTGCATCTGCCTCAGAAACTACTTCAGTTTCAGACACTTCTAATTCTCAGGGAGGGAAATTCTTTCTCTTGAGTAGAAATCCAGAGATTCATCTTTCATAGGATGGTGGGGAGGAATACGCAACAACTCTTGGATATTTTATTCACAATTGATTTTGTCTCATTAAATCTTCCGTAGGCTGGAAACCTTTTCTCCTAGTCAGCCCTTTAGCTCTCAGCGGACTCTTCAATATCCAGCCACTCCTATAGCTCTGATCTTATCCCTCAAAAAGGCCCCTCTGGAGATCTATTGTGTCATTGTTGGGACATATGTCAATCTATTATTTTAGTTCTTTGTTAAGTTCTATGTAAATTTATTACTGTCCCTACGAAATTTCTGTACTGAGCATTCACTATTCCTAAATTTTTCTACCTTTTGAGTCAATTCTCAGGCAGTTTGTCTTAGTACCTGGGTGTCACTCAACTGTATTCCTGCAGATTTCTTCTTCCCTCTACTGCTTGATTTGACCATATTAATAGTAAGCATTGATATGTGCCAGGTACTATTCTAAATTTATTACATGGATTAATCAGTCTTCACAATATGCTATGAGATAGATATAAGCTCCATTATGCAAAGGAGATATCCAAGACATAGAGCAAACAAGTAATCTGCCAAAAGTCACACAGTAGGGAAGTGGAGTTGCTGGGTTTCAAACCTAGAAGTCTGACAGCAGAGTCTCACCCTCAGCCACTCCCCTTATTGCTCCTGTAAATGAAAGAGTTACCACCTACAGACCATTTGTCAGCTCTCCAGTTCAATTTGTCCTCAGCACCTTAGGACCTTGGCCCTATTTAATGACTCAGCTTTTTCCTAAGCAGATTCTCATACTGTGACCCTTCTTTCAGGTGCAGTGGGAGTGCATCAATCCCAAGTATAAAGCCAAGAAGAAGAATTACAAGAACTCAGGCACGGTGATTCTGAATCTGTGCAAGGTATGTATGCAGCCCTCTCTTCCAGGAGTATAAAGCTAGGGAACTAGCTTCTGAGAGGAAGAGTTCAAGTGGTGTGGTCAGAGGAAAAGAGTGTCAAAAAGATGTGATCTTCTAAAACAAAAATCAAAAATGTCATGTATTAAGGAACATAAAATGAGAAGTGTAAGCATGGGTTGTCATGGAGCTGTGGCAGCCCAGTGCCACCATCCTCTCCCCAGGGACTATCCTGCCCCAAAGACAAGAGAGGTCTGCTGATAGTTCAGGATCTTCTCTGCCCAGAGCAGTGCCAGAGGGAGATCTCCAAATGGCGAAGCCAACATTTCTAAAACACCTACTATGTGCCATTCATGGTGTCCAGTGGTTTTTTTGTTGTGGTTGTGATTTATTTATTTATTTATTTATTTATTTATTTATTTATTTATTTATTTATTTATTTATTTATTTATTTATTTATTTATTTATTTATTTGAGACAGAGTCTTACTCTGTCGCCCAGGCTGGAGTGCAGTAGCACCATCTCAGCTCATTGCAACCTCTGCCTCTTGGGTTCAAGCGATTCTTTTCGGTCAGCCTCCTGAGTAGCTGGGACTACAGGCACGTGCCACCACGCCCCTCTAATTTTTTGTATTTTTAGTAGAGACAGGGTTTCACCATGTTTGCCAGAATGGTCTTGATCTCCTGACCTCATGATCCACCTGTCTCAGCCTCCCAAAGTGCTGGAATTACAGGTGTGAGCCACTGCGCCTGGCCTGTCCAGTTCTTTGTATGTGGTACCTTACTCATACTAAAAGGATACCATAAAAATCTGAAAACAGAAGATTAAAGGTCTTAGGAATTCCTTCCAGAGGGGCTACAGCTTTGTAAAGAATCACATGTGGTAATAATTAAACTTCTTAACGCAAAGCCGGGAGTGATGCTACCACTAGTTGAGTACTTACTATGCAAGAATAGCTACAATAAACTGTCTTTAACTCTTACCACAACTCTGAGATGTCCACTTTCAATTGAGGCTATGTACCTGGCTCAGATCACACAAGTAGTAAATTTAAGAGCTGAGATTTTAACCCATGTGTTTCTGACTCCATCATACAGGACTCAGTTGCTATTCAGATGATAGATGTGTGTTCATGTTGAGAGAGAGAGAGAGAGTGTGTGTGTGTGTGTGTGTGTGTGTGTGTGTACAGGCATATGTACATATATGTGTATGTACAAAGGTCTATGTCAGAGATATTCTGGATTCCATTCCAAACCAATGCAATAAAGCAAGTCATACACATTCTTTCATTTCCCAGTGCATATAAAAGTTATGTTTACGCTATCCAATAGTCTATTAAGTATGCAATGGCATTATGTCTAAAAATTTACATACTTTAATTTAAAAATAGCTTATTGCTAAAAAGAATACAACAGTCATCTGAGCCTTGAGTAATAATCCTTTTGCTGGTGGAGGATTTTATCTGGATATTGATAGTTGCTGACTGATCAGGGTAGTAATTGCTGAAAGTTGGGGTGGGTGAGGTAACTTTTAAAAGTAAGACAACAATGATGTTTCTCATTAATTGACTCCTCCTTTCATGAAAGATTTCTGTGTAGCATGTGATGCTGTCTGATAGCATTTTACCCACAGTAGAACTTCTTTCAAAATTGGAGTTAATCCTCTCAAACCCTGCCACTGCTTTATCAACTAAATTTAGGGAATGTTCTAAATTCTTTGCTGTCATTTCAACAGTGTTCACAGCATCTTCACCAGGAGTAGATTCAAGAAACTACCTTCTTTGTTTATCCATGAGAAGTAACTCCTCATCATTCAAGTTTTATCAATTGTAGCAATTCAGACACATCTTCAGGCTCCACTTATAATTCCAGTTCCCTTGCTGTTTCTACCCCATCTGCAGTTTCTTCCACCACTGAAGTTCTGAACTCAAGGTCATCCTAGAGGGTTAAAATGAACTTCTCCCAAACTCCCGTTAATTTTGATATTTCGACCTCCTCCCATGAATCATGAATGCTCTTAGTGGCATCTAGAATCATGAATCTTTTCCAGAAAGTTTTCAATTTACTTTTCTCAGATGCATCAGAAAAACTACTGTAATGATAGTTATAACCTTATGAAATATATTTCTTAAATAAGAAGACTTGAAAGTCAAAATTTCCCTTAGATGCATGGGGTGCAGATTAGGATATTGTGTTAGCAGACATGAAAACAACAATAAAACTCCTTGCATATCTCCATCAGAGATTTTGTGTAACTAGGTCTAGTGTTGACAAGCTGTAATATTTTGAAAGGAATCTTTTTTCTGAGCAGTAGGTCTCAACCTCAACGGTAGGCTTGAAATATTCAGTAAACCATGCTGTAAACAGATGTGATACCATCCAGGCTTTGTTGTTCCATTTATAGAGCACAGGCAGAGTAGATTTAGTATAATTGTTAAGGGCCCTAGAATTTTTGAAATGGTAAATGAGCATTGGCTTCCACTTAAAGTCACCAGCTGCATTGGCCCCTAACAAGAGAGTAAGCCTGCCCTTTGAAGATTGGAAGCCAGGCAGTGACTTCTCTCTAGCCAGGGAAGTCCTAGATGGCATCTTCTTCCAATATAAGGCTGTTTCATCTACAATGAAAATCTGTTGTTTAATGTAGTAACCATCATCAAATGATTTTAACTGGCTCTTCTGGATAACTTGTGGCAACTTCTCCAACAGCATTTGCTGCTTTACTTTACACTTATGTTATGGAAACAGCTTCTTTCCTTACACCTCATAAACCAACCTCCTCTGCTAACTTAAAACTTTTTTTCTGCATCTGCCTTACCTCTCTCAGCTTTCATAGATTTAAGAGAGTTAGGTCCTTGTACTGGATTAGGTTTTAGCTTAAGGAAATGATGTATCTAACTTGATCTTTTATCCAAACCACTAAAACTTTCTTTACATAAGCAAAAAGCCTGCTTCACTTTCTTATCATTGGTATGTTCACTGTTTTAATTTCAAGAATGATTACTTTGCATTCACAACTTGACTGTTCAGTGCAAGAGGCCTAACTCTGGGCCTAGCTCAGCTATAGACATGCCTTCCTCACTAAGTTTAATCATCTCTAGCTTTTAATTTTAAGTAAGAGATATGTGACTCTTCCTTCCACTTAAACACTTAGAGGCCATTGTAGAGTTATTAACTGGCCTCATTTCAGTAGAGTAGTGTTTCGGGTGATAGGGATACTCAAGGAGAGGAAGATAGATGAAGGAATGGCCAGTCAGTGGAGCAGTGAGAACACACACAACAGTTATCAATTAAGTTCGCCATCTTATATGGGCTTGGTTCACAGCATCCCAAAATAATTACAGTAGTAACATCAAAGATAAATGATTACAGATCACTGTAATAGATATAATAATAATGAAAAAGCTGGAAATATTACAACAATTACCAAAATGTGACACAGACAGAAAGCGAGCACATGCTGTTGGAAAATGGCACCAATAGTCTTGCTCAATGCAATGTTGTCAGAGACCTTCGATCTGTAAAAAATACAAAGCTGAACAAAGTGAGACACAATAAAAGATACACCTATACATATATGTGTGTGTATGTGTATATACACACACAGAGAGGGTCATGGTCCCTAATTTGTAATTTTTTGACTTTATAATGGACCTATTAGTATATAACCTCATTGTAAGTCCAGAAGCCACTGTACATACGTGTATATGTGTATATATATATAGTCATGTTCTGCATAATAATATTTTGCCAATGATGGACCACAGATATGATGGTAGTCTCATAAGATTATAATGGAGGTGAAAAATTCCTATCACCTAGTGACTTGTAATCATTGTAACATTGCAACATAATTACTTTATTTTTTAAATAAATTTAGTGTAGCCTAAGTGTTTATAAAGTCTACAATGGAGTATAGTAATATTCTGGGCCTTCACCTTCACTCACCTCTCACTCACTGACTCACTCAGAGCAACTTCTAGTCCTGCAGGCTCCATTCACGGAAAGTTCCCTATACAGGTGTGCCATTTATTATATTTTATACCAGATTTTGATTGTTCCTTTTTATGTTTAGATACACAAAGACTTATAATTGTGTTACAATTGCTTACAATATTCAGTACAATAACATGATGTACAGGCTTGTGGCCTAGGAACAATAGGCTATACCAAATAGCCTAGGTGTATAGTGGAATATACCATCTAGGTTTGTGTAAGTATATTCAATGATGTTCATGCAATAATAAAATCACCTAATAATGTGTTTCTAAGAATGTATCTCCATCATTAAATGGCACATGATTGTGTATATGTATACACGTGTGTATGTGTGTATACATACATAGATATATGTTTCCTAGAAGGAACCTAATATGTATATATGCAGGATCATATCCTTACATAATAAAATAGTGAAACAAAAGAGTAATTGATCTGCTTTGGGTCACATCCCTACTTTTTAAACCAATCACTGGGACTAGGGCATAATGTCTTATGATTGGCCAACTGGGGTCATTGTATTAATCTTTTTTTTTTTTTCAATATATTTCGATGCTTTTACAACTTTGGGCCTTATGAGCCCAGGAGCGACTACTCTCCCAATGTCGGCTAGTTCCTAAAGACAGCAAACAACTTGCCTTCTAGTGTGCCTTTGATATGCAGACCACTCGTTTTTTAGTTCAAATCCCCAATCACCTGCCTTACCAAACTCTCACACACCAAGCCAATGTTCTCCCACCTTATATGACCCCAAGGCCAGGTATCATTTAACTAGAAACCATTCCTATGGTTCTAACAGATTTCAGAACCTGCTGAAATTATTCAAACTATCCAACTCTAGGCCTCCTTAGCAGCTTACCCTGCCTCACCTACTCCTTCCTGTGAAAAACCACAATAAATGCTTTTCCCATGCTTTCCCCTCATTGCTTTTGTTTCCTGAACTATCCTGGTCCCATGTGACCTTCCTATGTGGCATAACATGCCTCCTATCCTTTGAGGAACTGTGAGCAATAAACTCTTCTTACAGAGACAGCTGTCTCCATGTCAAGCATCTTATTGTAACTGTACAAATCAAATCCTGGGTATATTCTAAATAGTCACGTGACTATCCCTGTGCCCAAAGAAACAGGAGAAAAGATCTAGATGCAACGGTTATATTTCCCCTTAAGGCGACTATGCACACAATTGTTTTTGTTCTTCCATGAGTTGATCTTATAGTACAGTACTCAAAAACCACTGTTATTTTGCTCACTTTCAAGTTCTTATTTGATATACAGACACAGGAGCACAGCATCCCAACTATCAGGCAAAACATTGCCAGCAGGAAGCCAAAAGCAAGCATTATTTAGAGGCCAAGTGAACATCAATCCTAAGAAAAGTATGCCAATAGAAGTGTGTCACCTGGAGATGGTATCTAGAGAGGCAAACAGTGATTTTTAGCATCGGTCTCTAAGAAGCTTCCTGAGGCCAGGTGCAGTGGCTCACACCTGTAATCCCAGCACTTTGGGAGACCAAGGTGGGTGGATCACCAAGTCAGGAGTTCAAGGCGGGTAGATCACAAGGTCAGGAGTTCAAGACCAGCCTGGTCAAAATGGTGAAACCCTGTCTTTACTAAAAATACAAAAAAAAAAATTACCTGGACATGGTGGCAGGTGCCTGTAATCCCAGCTACTCAGGAGGCTGAAGCAGAGAATTGCTTGAAACCGGGAAGCAGAGGTTGCAGTGAGCCAAGATTGTGCCAGTGTACTCCAGCCTGGGCAACAGAGTGAGACTTCATCCCCCCGCCCCTGAAAAAAAGAAGCTTCCTGAGCAATAGATGGAATCTGAGAAGTGAGAGTCAAAAATTACAGTTACTGACCATCCAGGTAGAAGGATCCAGACTGTAAGCTCCATGACTGCAAGTACTGTATGTTTCTCTAATTACTATATCCCTAGATTCTAGTACATAGTGACTGTTCAATAAATAATTGTTGAATCAATGAATGCATGAATATCACCAAGAGCCAAGCCAAGCAGCATCACAAAGAAATGTGAATTAAGACCAGAAATCCCTAAGGCACCTGAGAACACAGATGATGGCAGTTGGCATAATGCAACAACCATACTGACTTCCAGCATAGAGGTCAAAAAGATAGAGTATGTAACCCAGACTTGCATGATTTGAGTCTCAACTCTATCATTTATTAGCATTGTGATCTTGACCTTAATTTCTTCATCTATAATGAGGGTACAATAATAATAGTTGTACCACCTTCATACGGTTGCTCTGAGAATTAAATGAGATGAAAGATGCTAAGTACGTGGCATTCAGCAATGCCCAATAAAGATTAGTCATTGTTGTTCATGGCAGGGGAAGGGTTTAACTAACTGGAAATTGTTAGTAGATTACCTTCTCAGCTAATGATTTCTTCAAACTGCCTATCAAAATCACGTGCATATTAAAGATGTCACCAGGACTGGGACTTAGACACAGGGAGGCAAGACTGAAGTCAAGTGTGAGACATTATTGATTTCAAAACAGTAGTGACATTTGAAAATATAGTTTTAGTCTCATCTCAGCGGCAGAAGCTGATTAAAATTTGTATAAACCATAATAGAGGGGAGCAAGGGATGGATATTGGCAGCCCTCACAGGCTCATCTGTATTGATATTGCTTTCCTTCTCCCCTTTAACAGAACAAACTTAATGACCCATCATTTTCTGACTATGTCTGTCTGCCCTTTCCTCTGGTTTAGCAGCCTAACAGTCACCAACTGTTAGGCCTCTGATATATCAGGAAATAGACTGTGCTGTTATTAACCCAGTTTCCTCTCCCCTCCTCTGCAGATCCACAAGATGCACTCCTTCTTGGACTACATCATGGGCGGCTGCCAAATCCAGTTTACAGTAAGTTGTTTCCATGTTTGTTCTTATTCAGGAAGCAAGAGATGAGGAGTGGCACTGGGTTTGGGGGATAAGGTGACAAAAGCTTAGCAAAACCTTCAGTGGGCTTTGTTCAAGTCCCACTGTTGAAACGTTGTATGGTATCATGTTTTTGAAATGTGTTCACACTTCTGTTTAGTAAGTAGAGTTTTCAGCATCATATCAGGAAATATATGCCACTCAACCTCTGGTGGTCTGGGGAACCCTCCTAATGCTTCCCACTTCTTCAGTAACTATGTGAGGCACAAAGCAGTATAGCCTTTCAGATTTCATCACCTGGTGAGAAAAAGTGGAAGAAAGTAAGCCATGCAGTAAGTTCACTGAGCCAAGGAAGATACCATGGTTACGTTCATGTGACCAGTGGTCATATGACCACAAGCACCAGTGTCATACCCAGTGGTCAGTACCAAGAGTAAGCCATACAGCAATAAAAAGATGAATTCCAAAGACTGGAGGACCAGGCCGAGGTCCAGGTTGAGAAGTAGAGTGGGTGTTTAGACTCAGTGGGTGGATCGAGGATCATTCCCTGTATGTAATTTGTGTGCCCTTGGGATTTACACACCCCTGATGTATATTTGACTGGGTAGGCTGAGTCTTTTTAAAACGCCTACATAGGTCAAGGTTGTGAGTCCATCTGCACTGGAACAACTGGCTTTCACTGACTTAATATAATCCTCCTAGGTTTGGTCAAATGTGACTTCCAGAAAGAGTATCTCCAGATGGCAAAAGACAGATGTGCTAGAACCCTTTAGAAAGCAATGTGGATGTAAACAAAAGAGATACAATTTGTACAGCATTTCTTTCTCATCTTACAGAAGTGTACTAATGAAGCTCAGCCTTGTTCAGCTCCCTGACTGGCTCAGTCATGTGAAAAAAAAAAAGAAAATGGATTTGAGTTTTTAGTCCAGCTTTGGACCCAAGAGGATAGACAGGACCAATATATTCCTGGAACCAGGGATATGGTACTCAAAGGACTCAAAGGGGTCTCAAAGGAATGAGATAAATGGCCATTAACTAAACCAGCCTCTCCTTAACTAGGGAAGTGTCCTCTGCACTAATCTCAGGGAGGTTTACTTATGTCCTGCCTAAACTTGGGATATTGTGCATTTATCTCTGAACACTTACAGGTGCTAATTTTAGAGTTTGTTCACCTCTTTAAAGTCTAAGATTCTCTGACGCACAGCCAGCAAGCCTTCCTACATTCACACTGTCACATACAGAAGGTAACAAGCATGTGCTGTTCACTGAGGGTACACATCTAACTCTAGCTGTCCTGTAGGCTTATTGCTGCTCTGAGCATACCCAAATGGAAGTATGGAAGCAAGCAATGTCATAAAGGAGAGCTATGGGAAATAGTTTCCCAAGATCTTAGGCAAAAAAAAAAAAAGTGATTTCAGGAAACTATTTAGAGGTTTTTCAAGGGAAAGCTCTATTGATTTCAGTCTGGTTTAGATTTTGTAGGTCCCATGCTCTTGAACAAATCTGTATTCAACCTTCAGGGGCTTGCTTTGCCCTTCAAATTGTGCTGCAAGGAATTTTTGCCCCAACAAAAATCAGGAGCTGAACTCCAACCCAAAGGGTTCCCAGCTCCACATCCTGACTTCAGATGTCCTTGTGTCCTGCTTTGTTCTCCCCTCCTGTCTCAGCCTGCTGACCTTCCCCCACTGGGAGTACCACTTCAGTGTTTGTCACCAAAAACACCCCAGCTGCAGCTTCCCATGCCCTGCAGTGTCAACTGATAGACCTGTGGGAGGTGCGAGTGAGGAGAGCAGTCTGGAGCCAGGAATAAGAAGAGGAGAATGTACAGATGAGAGCCAAAGAGAAGGAAGCAGCCAGCAATAGTTCCTCCACAAAGCCCTTCCTTCTACAGGGCTTCAGGTTGGAGACTCAGAAGAGAATTGCTAGGTATTCTACTCCCAGTGTTCTACCAAAGGAAACATACCAGTCACTTCTCTGTGATTTTCTTCCAAAATTAAATTGGCTTTCTCATTATAAATTTTTATTGCTCAAGTGGTGCAACTTAATGTAAATTATAAGCTGTAATGCAAATTGTTAAGAAAAAGCATCCTGTCTTATTTAATTTGGTCTGTGATTATTATATGCCTGGTTATTTTACTGAAATTATCTGGCAACATGAATAGGAAGTGGCAGAGAGATGAGAAGTGAAGAGAGGAAGGCTTCCTGGCATGGGGATGGGCAGAGGAGAGAGAGAGAAAGGGTATTTCATTGCAGTAATTACACCTCAGAGGCTTTCAGAGGCAGAAATCCAAATTGGCACGTTATGTAACCCTTGGCTCCTGAGCAACCAGGAGCTTTAGTCAACACAAACTTTTTGTCTCCCTGGAGAAAGGCCTTCAAGCACCAGAGGTGACACAAAGTTCTAGATGTTCCCCATTTCCTTCCCTAGAGCCACTTTTCATCCTCCTCCACTCTCCCTTCTGTGCCCCAGGAAGCCAGCCTCCTTAGATGCACTATCCAAGCTCTCCAGCTCTTAAAATTTTGGTTGAGTTTGTCCAACGAGAGGCATCCATCAGAGATCAAAGAATAGGAGGAGAGAGAACTTGGAACATTTATTTCTCCAGCTGTCTGCCTGCCAGGCTGTGGTTTGGCAGCAACCTTGTTCCTGACAGAATGTTCTGAAGATACTCCTCTTACTGAATTCTAGTAACTGCTCCCTCCCACTCTTTCTGGTCAGTTTCCATTAATCTTTTCCACATGTTCTGAAATTTTCCCTTTGTTAAACTTGCTCAAACACCTTTTGGGTAGATTTTTGTTTCCTGTAGTAGCTCTGACAAATACAAAATATAAGCAGGGGCTGGGAGAAAGCCTTTGCATCTTCCATAGATGCTGGTGTTTCTTGTTCAATCTCAAAAGTGTTAATGATGGGGCATCTTTCTCCTCAGCTGCTGAGCTGCTCAAAATACTTCTGTTGAATTGTAATAAATTGAAACCTTAACCTTCAAAGGGAGGTAAAATTTAGAAAAGAGAACAAATTGGATAAATAACTATGATAATGGGGTTTTGCTTTAAAAAGCATCCCCCATAAACTTAAATATTTGTATATCCCTATATTCTAATTATAAATACTAAAACCTTACTTAGGTTAATATGAATAAGCAGGATGTATTTTGGGAAGTGTAGGGGACGAGGTTGGAATCGGAACTTGAAGGGCTTTGAATTTTTAGATAATTTGGTGGATAATGCATGTTCAAAAGGACAATGAGGACAGCATTGAAGCAACAGGCACATGCTTTAGACGAGTAAAGGCTGGGAGTGTTTGATGGTGAAGGGAGAATGAGAGATGAAGCAAGGAAAGATGGAAACCCATTGACACAGGCCTGGTGCCAGGTAAAAAGAGGCTAAACAATAGTGGCAGCAGCTGGACAGGTACTGTGGGAAGAACAGCACTAAGCCTCCGCCTGGGATACGATGAGAAGACTGAAAGCAATCAAAGCTTTTGTGCCTGACTGACAGAGCATGGTGGTTCTGGTCAGGGAAGGAAATATGCAAGTCAAGAGCAGCTGCAGGCAAGATGATGAATTTGGCTTTGGACACGTTGGCAGTACTTTCAGGTATCTCAGTGGAGATGGTACTTATAAATATGGACCTGGTTTCAGGAAAGAGTCAGGAGCTTCATGTATGTAGGTCTGGATGAGATGTCCCAAGAGAAAAATATAGAAGGAAAAGGGGCCTGATGACAAGAAATTGTAGAGAACTCTATCTGGCTGCAGAGGAAAGAGGGGCAAACAGTGGAGAGAAGAAATGCCAAAGGAGAGGAAGGCTCAAGAGGAGGCAGCAGTTCAGTTGCCCAGGAAGAAAAAGGTAAGCTTAAGATCAAGGGTGACAATCTTGCACAGTAAAGAGAAGTCAGAAGGTGAAGACCACACGATGAGTAGGCGTATATCATCTTCAAAAGAGCAACTTCAGCAGAACAAGTAGGTGAGACCCAGGAGTTAGAGTGTAAACAGAAGGTAAAGAAGTGAACACAGCAGGTATAAGTCTTCATTCAAGAAAATTGACAGTGACGGGAAGGCCGGAGGTATGAGGAAGATGGCAATTTAAAGATTAAAAGAGAAGAGATTTTAGGCTAGAATCTGAATAAGCAGAGGCAATAACCCAGTGAAAGGAAAGAGATAAATGATGCTAAAAAGAGTCCTAGACAGTCAGTGATTCTTATTCTTTTTCTGGTCACCTGAACCACTTGAGAATCTGATACATGATCTATAGCCTCTTACTGGGAAGTGCACACATCCAATTTTGCATGCAATTTTGGGAGGTCAAGGGCACCCCTGAAGACAAATCTTGTACCTCACATGAATCCTTGAGTCATAAGAACTTTAGAGCAACTGTAGCATCACAGTCTTTGAGGAGGTGGGTGGAGGTGACACAGAGACCACAGGGTGAGAGATTGAGTTCGGCCCATGGTAGAGCAGCTAAAAATAAAACCAGATAATAGAATTTCACACACAACATACAAAGTTATGGATAGCATAAGACAGACAGATGCCGTAAGCTATTGGAAAACAAAAAAATGGTAGAAAAAGCAAAGGTCTTTTTGAAAGTTATTGCTTTTTTGTATGCTCAAAAATGTTCATTGTAACACAGATTTTTACGCAGATAAGCTGTGAGCAACCTAAGTGCCTAATAATAAGATAATGGCTATGTAAATTACAGTACTCCTTTAAATACTATGCTATTTAGTATCATAGTATTTAGTATTGACTATGATAAAGCCAATTTAAATTGTAATTCTAAGGTTTAGATCATAACACGAGGTCATGTTTATGACATATTGTTATAAGCGGTGGCTCAAGCCTGTAATCCCAGCACTTTGGGAGGCCGAGGCGGGTAGATCACGAGGTCAAGAGATCGAGACCATCCTGGTCAACATGGTGAAACCCCCCTCTCTACTAAAAATACAAAAAATTAGCTGGGCATGGTGGCGCGTGCCTGTAATCCCAGCT